AGCAAAAATTAATGACATTGAAACAAACAACAAATCAGTGAATCAAGAGGTTTTTCTTTGAAAGAATACACACATCACTTCTTGACCTTTTGGCTAAGATCAAGTGAAAGAATAAACAAATTGTTTATTAGCCAGAGCAATCAGGCAAGAGAAACAAATGGGATAAGTATAGAAAAGGAATAATTCAGATTATCATTATTTGAAGATGACAAAAGTCTCTACAGAGAAGACTCAAAAAATTTCACCAAAAAATGCTTTGCATTAATAATTAAGTTCGGTGCCATAGCAGGATATAAAATCAACACACAAAAATCAATAGCATTGTTGTACACCAATAATGAACTCACTGAGAAAAAAATTTGAAAAAAATGCCATTCTTAATATCTTAATATCTTAAGTAAATACTTAAGAATTACCCTTACCAAGGAAATGAAAGATGTTTACTATGAAAACTATAGTGCTCTGAAAAAGGTGATTGATGAAGACATCAGAAAATGAAAAGATGTCCCCTGTTCCTGGGTAGGCAGAACCAATATCGTCAAAATGACCACAGTTCTAAAACATATACAGATTTAATGCAAGCTCAATCAAAATACCAGTAGCATACCTCACAGAATTTGAGAAAATACTCTTAAAACTCATGTGGAACCTGAAAAGACTTAGAATAGCAAAAGCAGTCCTGGGTAAGAGTTAATCAAGAGATATCACTCTTCCAGACTTCAAGTCATACTACAAAGCTGCAGTGATTTAAAAAACCAAACAAACAAGCAAACAAAAAAGAGAAAGAAAGGAAAGGTAAGAAAGAAAAAAACAAAACCAGAATGGTATTGGCAAAAATCAGACATGTGGATCAATGAACAGAATAGTGGATGCAGAAACAACTCCAGGCACATTCAGCTTCCTGATCTTTGACAAAGGGGCCAGAAACATAACACTGCAGTAAAAATCGCCTCTTTAACAAATGCATCTGGAAAAACTGACTATGTGCTTATCCTGTGAATCCATATGAATATCCTATGACTGTAGTTTTCATATCTCTCACCATGAAATGAACTATTTTCTGGAAAATAAAATAGGTAAAACTCTTGGGAACACAGGCATAGGCAAAGATTTTCTGAACAGAACCTCAATTGCACAAGAAATAATATCAGTAACCAAAAAATGGGATCATATCACATTTAAAAGCTTCTGCACAGCAAAAGAAACAACCAGCAGAATGAAAAGAAAACCTAAAAAATTGGAAAAAATGTGTCAGCCATTCCTCAGCAGTGGGCTAATATCTAGAACATATAAAGAACTCAAGAATATTAGACACTGCAAAATAAGAGACCCAAAGAAAACACAGGCAACTGAAAAGAACAAACATTTCACAGAAAAAGAAATACAAATGGCCAACAAATACATGAAAAAATGTAAAATATCACTGGACATTCAGCAGTGCAAATTAAAATAACATTGATTCAAAAAAGAATTGTTATCATCAATAAATCAAATAGTGATAACTGCTGGTGAGGCTGAGGGGGGAGAGGAACCCTTCTGCATTGTTGGTAGGACTGTGAATGAGTACAACCACTATGGAAATCAGTACGGAGAGTCCTCAAAAAACTAACACTAAAAATTCCATTTGACCTAGCTATTTTTCTTCTAGGTATCTTCCTGGAAGAGTTAAAGACATTTATTACAGTGATAGGTGTATACTCATGTTTATAGCAACACATTATAGCTAAATCTTGGAAGCAGCCTATATTTCTGTCAACAGACGAATGAATAAGAAAATGTGGTACTTATTTATTATACACAATGGGGTCATATTCTGCCATTAAGAATAAACCTGAGTCATTTGTAGGGAAATGGATTCACCTTGACACCATAATGGTGTGGGACTCTAACCGCTATGTAACCCCTAGTTAGCCAGCACAGAGCAGCACACATTTCTTTCTACCCAGCCCCAAGATAAGATTAAAACAGTGTACGGAAGCCTGGTACGGGCAAACGAGACAGCGACTCAAGGCCTCGTTAGAACAGAACGGCCTGAGGTCTGGAGACGAAAGGCCAGGTGCACCGTACAGCTGACTCCTTTAGACAGACGGCAGAGAACCGGCCCCCGGCCCCTGGCCCACTTGCTCCGCTTGCCGTCCTCTTCCCTTGCCTTTAAGAAACTGTGCTGACCCCTGAGCTGCGCCTCTCTGAGCTGCTCAGTTCTGAGAGTGCCGTCCGGCCAGACTAATACGGGTCTATTTACCAACGAGCCTGGTGTGTTCCTTCCCGGGGGGCGACTCTCGTTCCTCCGTCGAGCTCCCGGAGCCTCGCTGAGCTGTAGGTCCCAGCATCGTGGAGGCCCTCTGGGCTGTTCAAGGCTCCCGGAAGTAAGGCCCTGGGTCTTGCCTCCGGAGCCATCGTTGGGCTAAAGGACTCAGCGTCGTGAAGGCCCTTTCGGCTGCTCCCGCTCCGTGGAGTGCAAGGGAGACTTTAGGTCTTACAGTGGTAAGTGAAATAGATCATCAGGCAACCAAGCTTAACTATCACATGTCTCTTATAGAAGAGATTCAAAAAAATAGAGAGAGCAAAATAAAAGATAGACAATAGGGAAAATACATACATTTGTTTTGTTTTGTTTTCCTCATTGAGTTTATTGGTACATTTTAGGTATACAGTACAGTTACATTCATTATTGGGATCTTGTACCTTGGTTCTCATTTTTTCCCCTTGTCCCTGCCTCCTTTTTTGTGTTTTGAGGCAGGGTCTCCCTTTGTAGATCAGACCGGCCTGAACTCACTAAGCAGCCTGTGCTCACTTAGAACTCATGGCAATCTTCCTGTCTCCGCCTCCCAAGTGCTGAGTTACAGGCATGTGCTGTCATGCTCAGTTCTCTCTCTCTCTTTCATTTTGGTACCGGCAATCGGACTTGGGACCTTCAGCTTGCGAGACAGGCGGTAGAACCACTGAGCTCAATCCCTGGCCCTTGTGCTAAATCCCCAGCCCTAGATCTTTTGCAAATAGGAAAGGCTCTAAGAGATTTAAAACAAGAGTAGGAAACGAGAATGAAAGTAATTTAGGTGGGCAAAGTAACAAAGTGCCTGTGGTACCAGCTACTTAGGAGAGAAAGGCAGGAGCATTACAGTTCCAGGCCAGTTTGGGCAACTTGATGAAATTATTCTCAAAGTAAAAAGTAAATAAAAAGGGTTGGGGATGTGGTTCAGTGGTGCAGCATCCCTAGGTTTTATCCCTAGCACTGCAATAAATAAATAAATCACTACCTGGCATAGTGGCGCACACCTGTAATCTCAGCACTGGGGAGCCTGAGGCAGAAGGATTACAGTGGGTTTGAGGCCAGCCTGTGCTACACAGTGAGACCCCAAATTAAATTAAAACAAAATAAAATACTTCAGCCGGGGATTTAGCTTAGTGGCATGGTACCTACCTCGCAAACACAAGGTCCTGAGTTCGATCCCTGATACAAAAAAAAAAGTACTGCAGGTGATAATTCCTTGCCCAATAAATACTGAGGAAGTAGATAAACTTGTGACACTATCCAAACTAAATTATCTTCAAACCAGCATTCTAAAGTATTTCTTTGAATTTTAACAGAATAAAGAGAAACTTTAGGGTGAGGGAGTTAGCTCAGTGGTGCTGCCACCTGCCTCTCAAGTGCAAGGTCCTGAGTTCGATTCCAGGTGACAGAGAGTGAGAGGGAGAGAGAGAAACTTTACAGTATGATAAAGGGGCCAATTCTTCAAGACACTCATGTTAAATATATGAACCTAACAGTAGAGCTTTAAAATACATGTATTCTGGGAAATGTAGCTCAGTGGTAGATCACATGCTTAGCAAAACTGAAAGCCTGGATTCAATACCTAGCACCAAAAAACAACTTGCAAATCCAACATCCAGAAAGATGTTCTTAAAAGCATCATGAGAGTTACAAGAGAATAAAGAAACTGATAGAAAATACTTGGTAGGCATAGCTAAGTCATAGAACTCATGGGAATTTAGCATTCACAAGGTCCTGGGTTTGACCCATGTGCGTGCACACACACACAAAGTAAAAATAAAATATCCATGACAGTGAAAAACTAAAAGGAGAAATGCAGATATCTATAATTATAGTCAGAGATTGGATACTTCTCAGTTATTGATATAAAAAGCAGATAGAAAATCAGTAAGAATATAGGAAGCCTGAAAAACATAATCAACCTGTCTGACCTAACTAATATTGATGAACACCCATCTAATGAGCAGAATGCATATTCTTTTTAAGCAAACTTGGAATATTAACCAGGATAGATCATATTCCTGTCACAAATCAAACTTCAACAAATTTAAAATAATTAAAATTATGCAAAGTATATTCTTAAAACAGAATTAAGCAGAAATAAATATATTTGAGAAATCTTTAAATAGGAAGTAAACAGCACACTTAAAAATAACCCATTAACCAAAGAGGAAATAAGAGAATTTAGAAAATAAAAATGGAAAAGATTAAAATTTGCAGAATACAACTAAAAGTATGCTTAGAGGAAAATTTAGAACATTAAACAGAACTGAATCAAATCAATGATCTAGGTTTCCTCTTTAAGAAACTAGAAAAAGAGAAGCTAATTAAACTCAAAGCATGCAAAAAATAAAGAGATGAGAAAGCATCTATGAAAAATGAAAAAACAATAGAAAGTTCCAATGAAAGCAAAAGCTGGTTCTTTGAGAAGAGAAATAAAAATTGATAAATCTCTAACTAGACTGACTAGGAAAAAGGAGAACACAGGAATTATTAATACCAAGAAAGTAACTTCTTTATAGATTTTACAGGCATTAAAAGGACAAAAGGGGAATATTATGAACTCTATGCTAAAAAATAGGACAGGGATCAGTGGGCTAAAAGTGGATTTTCATTTTATACCTAAAACAAATAAAGGGAAGTCCACTGATGTTTGTTTTTTTGGTACCAGGAATCAAACTCGGGACCTCACACTTTCGAGGAAGCAGAATCAATGAACTAAATCCCTGTCCTCTTGGTGATGATGTATATGGAGAATAGAGGTATGTGTGAAGTTTTTTTATGTCTGAATTTCCCAACATTTCTTTAACCTTTTTTTTTTAAATAACAAAAAGCATGACTACACATAGGAGAGAGGTATACAGAGACTTGTTTAGTTGCTTTTAACTCAGGAGAGCTCTCGCCGCTTCTTCTTCAAAGGCCATCAGTGATAGAAAGTGTGTCATAGAAGTTACCTGTGCGGCTGATATGACAGCCTGGGGCTCAGTGCATTCTGCCATTGAAGAGGTGCTGGCCTGAGCAGATTTTGCCAGCATTCACAAGCACATCTGTGCAGTGGGCTTCAAAGTGTGCCCCTCAGGCACTCAAAGAGACACAAAAATCTGCCAGGAAGGAAATGGGGGCTCTAGATACCCGTGTGTATCAATGCCTGGCTTAACGAGGATGTCTGAGCCAACAGAGTGATGAGTATTTCACACTGTGTCCAGATGTCCAGAAAACTTAACAGGGAGAAGATTCATCAGACTAATTCAAGCAGGTGACCTGTATACCTGCTACCACTTTAAAAAAATCTACAGATTGCGTCTGTGAACTAACTTTGTCTAGTGAAGTTATGAATCTGCCAGAATGTTTCACTAAAAATCCTGTCTTTCCTACATGGGAGTCCAGGGCTCTAAGTGAGCCTGGGCAGGAGCAGAGGGACATTCAGCCCAGGCTGATGCTGTAGCCGAGGACCCACATCAAGAAATATTTATAGTTAGATTCATAGTTAGAATTCTGGAGTGGAAGAGCCAACCTGCAATGCACCAGAACTCAATGGGTAGGAAGTCCTTCCATGGCTGTAGTAGAAAGCTTTCTGTTTCTATGACAAAAATACCCGAGTTAAACGATTTACCACTCTTTACCGGGGATCGAACTTAGGGCCTTGCGCTTGCAAAGTAGGTGGTGGAACCACTGAGCTAAATCCCCAGCCCCTGAGTTAAACAATTTAGAAGGAGGAAGTTTCTCTTTAGGTCATGGTTTCGGAGGTTACAGTGTTTGCTTGGGCCTGTGGCAAGGCAACACATCATGGTAGACATGCATGGCAGGAGTGCCTGAGCCTGCTAGTCTCATGACAACCAGGAAACAGAGAGGGAGGGAGCGAGGGAGAGAGAAGAGAAGAGAGGGAGACAGGGGCAGAGAGAAGGAGAGAGAGAGTGACCAAGACCCTAACCTTCCTTCGCGGGACACTCGCTGGCCTCCCATTTCCTAAAGGTCCTCCTACCACCCAGCAGTGGGACAAGATCTCAACACATGAACTTTGGGAGATAACTTAGGATTCACATTTTTTAAATTTTGGTATCGGGGATTGAACTTGGGACCTTGAGCTTATGAGGCAGGTGGCGGCACCATTGAGGATTCAGACTTTAACATTGATATTAACAAATATTTAACAATGGTACGCTGGCCAGAACTGCTGTGTGATTTTAACTCTGTGTGACCACTCCATCACAAAAGACCCACAAAGCACACATTCTCCACGTAGCACGGAGCCGTGTCACGGTTGCCCAGGGAGAGACTGCATCGGAGTTCCGACTGACACCTCAGATCTACTGTCTGCCACTTTTAGATTTCCTTTCCCCAGCTAACAAATTACCAATAAAGATCTGCTGGGTTTGGCTCCTTCGTATCTTTGGTATTTTTCCATGTTTATACCTAAACATGAGTCCTATGTGCTATTGTGTACACTGGGATTTATGTATAGACATTCAAACACCATCTGGATGAGCAAATGACTCTTTGAAGCCCATGAAGAAAGTGCCAGATGGAGGTTTGTTCTTTTTTTTTTTTTTTTTTTTTTTT